ACACAGGCATTATTATTCTATTAATTATTGTTATTATGATGATTATTGTTATTAATAATTATTGTTACTCCACTAATATTCAGCTAGCCTCCATGTAGAAGATATATGGAAACACAGAACTAAACTTTTATTTATATGTTGCGGGGACTGCATAACTTTCCCGAGAAGTGACTCTGGGTTTGTTGGGATGGCCCGTAGACAGCAGAGGCTCCGGGGGGCTCCCCGCTGCGGGTTCCCAGCAGGCCCACGCCCCTCCCAGCCCCGGGGGAGCCCTTGGCCAGGACTCTGCCCCTCCCCGTCTCTTCCAGGAGAACACCCTTACCTGGCCCGGCTTCCAGAGACCCTCGAAATCTCCGAGAAGATAAACAGCTGCTACCTCTTAGTATTATTCTGATTTTATTTTGCCCTTAACCGATTGTCATGTGCTACAGCGGATTCCAGCGGACTGCAGATGTGCGACCTTCCTGGCTGTCATGTTTTTATGTCCCAACCTAGGAACCTGAGCTGTTCTTTCTGGAGTTCTCTTTCCCACCTTTCCGGTGAGCTCACGCCCTTGCCCCAAGCTGGTCCCGCCCTCTCTTCGGAGCACAGAAAAATACACTTCTCTCCCTCTCCCTCCTTCTCCTCGCTTCTTTAGAAAGACGCACACACACCTTAGAGCTCGCCCTTGACTCCAGAGAGGGAACCAGCCACATACTCGAGCGTGCTTGTCCACGCCTGAGCAGTCGTGCGTCGTTGGCTGTGTCGGAGATGTGGAAACGGCGTGTGCTCTCGTTGGCGCACACGCGTACAATGTGCGTCTCCAGCAGCGCTTTCTGTATCCATAGCTAGATGCCATCTGTCCATTTCTATTGTATCTTTCTATAAATATACACTCTCAGGTACTTTTTCTGGCGTGCTGAAATCAGTGGTTTGCTTCTTGAGACACCTCAGCCCAGACGTGATCCTGTGTGCGTCCTGCTGAGGCCACCACCTCAGATGCGAATAGTCACTTGTCTCTCATCGGGGTCCTTCCTCGAGTTTGGGTCTGACGGATTGGGAGAGGCCCGCCAGGGTACAGAAGTTTGGAGGGAAATGGGGTCAGTGGCCAGAGGTGGCCCCTGGAGTAGTGTCTCTTGCAGAGCCAGCTTTTGTGAGGGCCTGGGGAGACCAGGAAAACGCCACTATCAGCCAGTTGGGGACCCAGCAAAAAACAGATGACACACATTCACACTGTGTTGTTTAAGGAGAGTTTTAATAAAGGGAATATTTACAAAGTGTGGGCAAAGCCTCCTGAAAGATCCCCCCACCCCGGGCGAGCACTGGGGGTGCCACTTCTCAACAGACTGACTGGTAGGGGAAGGGGAGCCACCGGAAGGACCAGTGGGTGACTGTCACCTGAGGGGTGCAGCCAGCCTGTGGGGACCCTGCAGGGAAATGAAAACCTGGCCTCACCCTCTTGCTCACCCTGCAGCCTGTTGAGGCCTCCCTGGCTGACGCTGTCAGCACCCAGGGGGCAGCGGACTGTTGGTGAGGAACATGTGGGCATCTTCCAGGGCAGCGAGGGAGTGCAGAGTCTGGAGGGACACGGAGGGAGAGTGACTTCAGCTGTCTGCTTTTCTGCTGCTCAATCTCATGGCCACTGCCCACTTTTTCAGAGCCTCTGGCTTGGCTTCGGTGTGGTTGGCAAGGTATAATTTTTGAAGACAGCGGGCTTGATTGTTTCACCATGTCATTAATGGTGTTAGTGACCGGCGTGCCAGGGTCAGGATTAACATGGATAATCCTCGTGACACCCCCACGAGGCGGCCAAGGGAAGCTCAGAGAGCACGTCAGGCTCAGAGAGGTTAAACCTGGCTAAGGTTACTCAGCAGGTGGCAGAACTGGGATTCTAGGCTACCCCGCCC